AAAACTTTGGTTTACGATGGTGTTCCAGGAATATGGAGCCCCAAATCCCCAAAATGTAAGCCCATCGCGAGTTGAAGCAGCTGCGTCGGGTTTTAATTGCGTATTTAAATTCGTCTGACGTCATTTGTGTGTTCTGCAATATTTGTATTTGCCTTATGAACATTTGGCGGTGGAAAACTCAACCAAGTCACAAACTATGTAGGGCCTACAAAGAATGTTTACAAATTTCGACACTCTGGTATTACTTCAGCTACCAGTTCTTGGAAAGATTTGTGTGGAGATGAGACTCCCTCAGAATACAGGAAGCAAATATTCAAAACTTTCACTAGTTCTCTATACCCTACTCTTCCAGATTTATTTAGTAAAATTGAAGCATCTGTAGAAGTAATTCCAGAATATCAAAAACTGTATACATATGTGTATTATTCGAGACATCATGCTACGCTTTGATTGAACTGCACCGAGGTAAGGATACAGTGATTCCAAACTCACTGCGCAAGGCTAATAACGGAAGTTGCCTTAGTTGTGCCATCGATAGTAAACAATATTGCATCGCCTGCTTGTACAGTGTGAATTGGATAGTCTTTCAATTGCGATTTGAGGCGAACCGTTAAGCATGGCTGGAACCAATCAAAGTTGATAACAACAGTGATAACAACTACCAAGTGAATTTGAAGATTTTGGTACGGGTCGCGATCGAACCATTAGAACATGCCTTTCGTACGTAAGTTTGCAGGCTCCCCAAGCACAGGAGACACGACGGTATGTGGCACTCGAATGTACTTGACGGGGATGCGTACGAGTGGACTAACGAGACTACATGCCCTTCCCACTGGTTGGGCTAGTTTCTCATTGCATTTCAGCGCATTGGGAAGGAGCCGACCCCAAAAGATTTAGCAGAAGCTGCACTGGTCCTGCCCATATTCTACATGGGGTGTAAGCCTGTTCTACATGGTGCTGCTTTGCTGTTAGCGAGCAGAAACACAACTCGAGCATTTGTGACGCAATTTAGCCACACCTTTTGATCGTTGTTATAAACGGAATGTGCCTTTATACTGCGACTTTGTCGTTGAAGGGTGTTCAACGGGAGACAGCAAAGGTGTAAGGAACTCTTCAGGTCTACTATGGCATAGAATGTGCTAGAAATTGTTGAAGATGTCATACAAATGTACTAACCATTGGAGCTCGTCCTTCTTCAGGCTCAAGTTCCCGTATGAGGAAATCTCCTTGAGCAGCTACGAGAGCACTGATATCCTCGAGTGGCAGTGCACCATGGTACAAGGGTTCATTTTGGAGTTCCTGATCGGACATGCCATGCATACAGCGTTAGGCAAAGTTAACTTGTAGATAACCTACACATATTGTTCTCTCTGCTGCTTCGATCGAATTACTCAGCATGCCTTATCGACAACGTCCTCTCACTGAAGAATTTTCTGTAAGATTACAACAAGTTTGGTTCTCAATAGTGGTCATAACCAGAAGTGTTGTTCACATGATACGGGGTGGGACTTACCACCGTACGCGTACACAATTTCAGCGGGACTTTTTTGCATTTGTGAGGTGAACGCCTTGAGGAGTGAATGCTATGTACGTTCACGGATTTTATTGCAGGTAGGTCGTTCTTCACCAAAGGTTATTTGTCGTAGAATCACTTGGGAGATAATTGTTTAAGCTGCGGGTGCTAAGTTTTGGGATGGCTCGTTTCTCTTCTTATTCGTTCCTCCAGACTCCAGCAGTCATCTGCGCCGCGTCGAGCTAAGGAGATCTCCGGCTACTGATCAACCTTTGGAGTGATAATAGAAAACGGGGGGCATGGACTTAGCAGTTTTTGCGGTATCAACGTTCGTGAGAGCATAATTTAACTAACACTAACATTATAGCAAATTTCCATGTAGTGATTAAGGGTAAGGGAGGGTAGAGAGGAAGAGGGAGGGAGAGTGGGATATAGATGAGAACGATTGCTGTGGACTGAGGTCAAAGGCGGAAATCACGATGGAAGAGCAACCCATTCTAAATTAACTTAAGGATGGTGAGTGGAAAACAAAGAAGAACCATGAGAACGGGCCCCAGACCGAGGAGGCCTTTCTTGCCGTTTGATTTGGCTATGATGCTCTATCATGTGGCAAATATTGACATTAAGTTCTTTTGATACCTATCATTCCGCGAGTATAGACCTCGACGAGTTATTTAGATAGCGTGTGGCCACCGCGCCAAGAATTGAGCCTGCTAGGTCGCCGAGGTCAAATTTTTCGGTGCCAATTGCGCGTCAGTCCGCACCCTCAGGAGGTCCGCGGGTCTCTCAACTAGGTGAATTACTCCTTTATCGACCTTCATTCTAATCGTGAATTCCTCTTTAAGCCAATCTTGAAGTACCACTCTACGTGACGTGATACAAACACCTACTGAGCACTGTTTCGACCACTCATGGTGTTGCCGTCGCAACAGGAGAAGAAAAGAGGGAGAGGTGGGAGATGTGAAGGAAGGAGGAGCAAATTCAACTACCAAAAAACCCGAGCTCATGCTCGTGTCAAATTCTCATGCCAGCGTGATGTCATGACACTTATCCAAGGCACGCATTTTGTGCGTACGCATCCCTCAAAAGGTATCGACCTCACAATTGCGGAAGGCGCAAAGCCTTGTATAAGAAAATCATTCGCAATATGCAGCGAACTATATGATCCATACGATAAGACGATGTGTCATTTTTGAACAACTTCAAGCCACTCCCATCTCGGAGCGGTGTTGGAGAAGACCATGCTGGCAGTCCTGGAATTTGCACAATCTACCGCCATTAAGTATATATCTGGTTTCCTTCCCTTTTGTCTATCAAGGCAAGACGGCACTCAACACTTTCAGGTTTCAAAAGCAAACCCCGATTAGCCCGACTAGTAGGAAGGATACCGCGAGGGAAATTGTAAGGTCCGTACCTACCTAGATCACTCCAGCTTCGTCGCAAAAATTGCGCGGTTAGGGCGCTAATCCTTACGGGCCTGCAACCATCGACCCCGTTCCAACGCTTCCCACCCACCGCGAGAGGTGGTGAGATCAGCGTGCATTGATGTAGAGATCAGCGTGCTCTCTCAAACGACGTGCTCTCTCGCGTATTTTGTCTTCTTTGATCGCCCTGTCTTGCCATCGTTCTACATCCGCTCAAAGATTCTCTAGCTTTCCTTTCCACTTTAAGGTCGTTTCAGCGAAGCTATCACTACGATGCGCTCATAGCATCAGTTTAATCCCGGGGTTTGCCTTTAAGCACACTACAATCCGTTCATATGTAGGTCTTGAGGAGTACTGGCTACCTTTTTTCAGCATTCATCTGGGGCAACCTTTTCTGTGCGTATGCTTTATGCCATCCGATGCTCACTTCCACTTGTGGATCATCTGTAGAGTATATGCGTATGTATGGTAAAGGGCTTTCTAGCAATCGCGTTAGAATGGGACCCCAACGATGATTTGGGCCTCGGGTTTGCTGAGGAATTGTTTCGTTCT